CTGAAACATCCAAACAAGATGCGGATGAAACACGAATTTTCCTGTAAGTCGACTATGCCGAGAACTTCTCGATCGCCCATCAAAACGAGATTGGCATCGAAATAATTATGGTTATTTACGGCCCATGCTCGGGCCGGTTGCGACAGGTTTTATTCTCAACTCCGTACGCTGTTAAAATAACGTGCATAAATGGTAAAGTATCCATGGTTAGTTTCGATAGTGGTTTGGTTATTCCACCATGGTATCCAATACGAATTAATGGCAATTGGACATTTCCTCACGATGTCCGAGATGAGACAGAAACTGAGTGTCAAGAGATGTATAGTTTTGCTCTTGACACCTGTCATATTATGATTATAAATGGTAGTGGATGTGCCACTTTAGGACATAATTTCAAAGGAAAAGTTATCGTACATCCGTACTATGTAACTGAAAAAGTTTTGGATGACTTACGTGTAATCGATATCTTAAGTAGTGTCCAATTGCCATTAATTCGTATTGGATACCATGGTGTAATAACCAAACCACTATCGAAACTAACCATGGATTCTTTACCATTTATGCACGTTATTTTAACAGCGTAAGTAACAGTAGCCTGTGATTTATCTGGAGTTCGAAGAACATCACCTTTGCGAATGTCTTTCACAAGTTTGGTTAATCCGCTTCTCAGCAATACAAGGCAATTTCCATGAAAGCTCACCGTCATTCGGACAACAGTCTTCTGAACAATAGACGCCACCATCATATCCTGATCCTTTATCGAAAAGCTTTACACAATAGGCATACTTTAGTTGTCTTTGCGCTGCTCGTGTAATTAAGAAAGAAGACTTCGTGTTTATTTGCGCGTCTTTTCTTCGATGGGTGCTGATAATATTTTTCCAGCCTATTGGTTTTATATCAATATCAATAACATCATTATTTGGGGCCTGTTTTATTGGGCTTAAGTTTTTGGTTGTATTCACATGGTTGTTTCTGCCATTGCTGAAGATCTGTTTCAACATAATCGCTTTTTGATTGATTTGTTTTCCGTTCATCTGTTATCAATGTAAAATTATATTTCAACTGATCGTTTTCTTCATTCATCGTTTGAATTAGATGGTTCTTAGTTTCTGCTGCTGTTGCTTCAATATTCTTGATCATGTCCTTTTCCCAGTTGTCGATCTTTTTTATTAGCTTCGATGTTGTATTATTCTGATCGTTATTTCGGTCGAACAACTTCTGTCTTAGAGAATTATGTAGTTCGGTGAGAACATCAAAATCTTTTTCAAAATAGATATTCAAATCTCGTTTTTCTACGCATGTACAAACACATTCATGCACGTTCGTATAGGACAGATAATTTGTACGAGGAAACATAGCATATTCTATATCTCGCTCTTATACTTTTCTCAAGACCTGTGCCGAGTTTTGTCAAGTGAAGTATAACGAAAGTTACTACTGAATACTGGATTTCTTTTCATATGTTCATTAGTTTATTCCTTTTCATCGTTCTCTTGTAGCATTTATGATAAGACTTCATAGGTCATAACGTCATAGTGTTACGAAAAGCTTTTTCATCTTTGTTTATCTAGGGAAAAACATTTCTTTCTTCGTCGTAAGAAATGTTTTTTTCTTCTTCTTTCATTCGGCTCATTAAGCTATCTCTCTACATATCTTCGGTTTTTGATTTGATTTAAACTGTATTTATTTAATCTTTATT